ATAGAAATTTATGGTTAAACAAGATATTTAAAGAGTATAATATTATTGTAATAATACAAATCAAAACAGTGTTACTATTTAAAATTAGAAAATAATTGACAAGAGATATTTTTTTATATGTGATCGGTTTGCGATTCGATCACTAATAAATCAACCTTTTGCAATAACACAAATCATTGTAAAATAGGGCTATTGGACGGGTAAGTCGAACCACTGGGACTGCTAGTTTATGGCAACCAAGGTCTTTAAATTCACTTTTAGTTTGATAAAAGGTGTATAGAGTTTTGATTGGTTTGTCACTTAATAACTAAAATTGAAATGCACATAAAATAATAAATGCAAGGAATTCAAGAGAAAGAAATCTAGAAAGAGAGGTCTAGGGAAGTGAATCCACTACCTACCCTATTAACATGTTAGTTGATATTAACTTGGGGAAACAATATATCAATATGACCATGGAATGCAACAACACAAAACTGCTACATTACCTTTAAGAAGTTCATGAAATCAATATGTAAGAATAACCTATCAAAGTTTTTCATGCTTTAACTACCTAAACTAGGGTGTAGCCTTAGACATGCTCACTAAGATAGAGATTATCAAGCCCTTAATCACATGATAAAAGCACATGAAGTTAGAAATCAAGAATAGTCTATCAAAGGAAGGCCCTAAGCTATAGACTATCAAACTTCCTAAACATCATGCCATTAAAACCATTCCACAACCTCATTTCCATTGTCACTATGAAAAACAAGCCACATAATCATGAGAAATTAGAATCTAAGACAAGACAATAACTTCAACATAATCATTTAAGGAGATTAGAATTCATTACATCAAAATGAATGCTCTAGATTGTGAAAAATCATAAATATACATCATTTCCCCCATAATAAATCTAAACTAGAACATGCTTACTAGAGAGGGCTTCATCATCTCCCTAGATAGGGAGTTAGTTACCCATAGGAGCAATGGATGAAGGAGAGATGATCATTATCCCCACCATTTTCGCCCTTTGAGCTCAAGAACACACAAACCCCTCACCGTACAATATTTCTCTCTCTAGAAGCTTGCTAAAATATGAGATTCCAAAACCATAGCTTCCAAGCCCTTATCTAGCCAAAATAATCTCATTTTCCCTCCATTTTCGTGGCTCACCAACCCTAGGAGAAATCAGGACCACACAAAAGGGTCAAGGGGACAGCATTGGAAGAAACAATGCAGAGCTGTCTGCAAAATGGCGGGCACCCACGGTTGTCCATCTTTATACCCGTTTGGGCGGGCGCCCGAGGGGCTTGGTCTCTCTGCCTTTGAATAGCTACTTTTGACTTCCTTTTCATGAGCTAGCAATCCAAGCCTTCTTCCTAGAGCTTTGAACAACGAGCATTATGAGCTCCGTGGATCATTTGACTTGGCCAAAACTACAATCCCCGGCAACGGCGTACTTTGATCTTCAAAAACTTATCAAAGAGTTACTTTTACCTCTCTTAGGGGAACCAACCTGAAAATAGACAAAAGAATGCAATTAAGTCTAATATATTCAGTATAGACAACTAATGGACTTAACTAATACAAATAAGGGCGTTTTAATATGCAATATTCGGCACTTATCAATATGGCCTATATTGTTTGTGGCACTTTTTTTCTTTAAATAATGATGATCGTCTTGATGATATATTTTTCTCGATTTTGAACATGAATTTAGCAAATGGCTCAATGAAACTGTAGTTAGGCAGAAAATGATTTCGAGCTTGAAACACTCTATAAATCAAAGAAAGCATCTATTTGTTTTATTTTATTTAAATCAGACCAAAAAAAAAAAATGTTTCTGAGATTTTTGAAAAGTGTGTTGTGTGTATTTCCTAGCAATGGACATGAGACACGTCCAGAAAATGGGCCCATTTGGGTGGATAATTTCGAATTCAGTTTAACCCCAAACCTGATCTTTAGACCGATTTGTCAGCTGATTTAATGTTCATGTTGGGCTTGAACTGAAAATTTGAAACTACCCTCAATTCCAGTTACGGAAATTTAATATAATTCGAAAAGTGAAACAAATAACCGAATAATGAAAGAGTTACAGGCATGCTTAGTTCAATGTTCTGACCTGGTTAGTTTATATTTTATGTTTTCTCAGGTTTTGAAAAATAATTTTATGAGTGACAAATCAAGCAAGTCAAATGCATTGAAGAATAATTTTAGACAAACCAAGCAATGTTTCGATTGCTTCTATCACATCTTCCGGCTGCATATTTCAATTGGAAAATTGTACTGATTTGAATGTGATCTTTTTATAATTATTACTGCTAATAATTTTTCACATCAATATATGGAATATAAGTCAAGGATTATTCTTTTTTATAAATATTATTATTCCGTTGTTCCAACTCTTTTTCTTTTTAACAAACTAGGGAAGGGGACTCGACTTGAGGGTTCAAAGTCATACTAATAACACTTAAAGCTTATGCTAGCATGACAAGACGTGGTAAGGGCAAACTCAATTCAGGAAATACAAGAAATTTTTAGATGGTTTTGATCCATTGTCACTTAATGGCTAGTTCAATTCAAACTCTTTAATTAAAATAACATGGTTCAGGATTATAAGGTCCTCGCCAATCACAATTCGACACCTAAGTAAATGTGTCAACTTTATTCAACTTTTTACTTGTTTATTGAGTTGTGATTAGTCACGACTATATAATTCAGGATCATATAATAATTTGTCAAAAACTAAGCTCACAAGAGTGTAATTATATATTATAAAGTAGTTTTGAAGTGACAAAATGGTTTAGAACTATCTAATACACTAACAGATAATTTTGATTGAATTGGACCACCAAATAAAAAATAAATTGAAGTATAAATGAATAAGAATATGAGCAGCCTCATATTCTTCTATATATACCCCACAACACTCTTCGCCATTCTTCATCACTTCCATTGTTTTTTCCTTTGCAATTTCGAAAAAAAATATATATATCAAGGAAGATGGAGAGGAAAAGCTGCTGCTCAGGAAGCTATGTCTCAACCCCGTGCGCTACGAAGGCGCAGAAAAAGGAAGCAGTGGTGACACCAAAAAAGGAAGAAGTGAAGCCAGAGATTGTCAAGAAAGAAGCTGTTGTGGATGCCAAAGGGACAATGTGTTGTGGGACCTTTGGGATGAAGACTACTAAGGGTGAGGTTAAAGAGACTGTTAAGAAAGAAGAGCCTGTGAAGGTTAATGTTGGTATTTAAGTATATTAATTAAGATGGTTTAAAGATAAGTTATTGGGGTGGTGGCCTACACATACACTTTTTTTTTTTTTTTTTTTTTTTTGATGGTTTTAGAAGTCTTTTTTTGGAATTGCAAATGGGTTTTATTTTGTTGGTATTTGATATGTAATAGTTTTTGTTTAAGGTGCCCTCTGTTATCTATCTATTCTGGCTTATACTTCCTTTATGTCTCTCTCATCTTCAATGTGTGTTTCTTCCGAATTTGTGCAGAGATATTTTATGATATGGCCTATATCTTCGAAAATTCAAGTAAACGCTCATACGTCCACAATATTGTTCCCAATTAGGCTCGAACATTTGCGCCCATTGATTTTTGTCACACTTTTTTTTCTTGAACAACGATGACCATCTTGATGCTTTTAGAATAATAATACACTGTATATAAATTATAGCAAAAAATTGTTGTCAGTAGGAAAATCTACTTCAAATTTGTATTAATTGTTTCAAGTCTCTTTAGCAATACTAGTTCTATTCCAACAATTCTAAAACAGTTCTAGAGGGTGCAACAGCAACCAAATAACATCCAACCATGAATTCCACTAGAGCATGGAATTTGATAAGATTGAAATAGTATAAAGAAAGGAAAAGAAATTTTTTAAAAAACAATTTATAAGTTTTTGAACACTTTAGAAGTTCGGTTAGCAAGGAAAAAGGAAATTTTTTAGGGAAAATTACGTTTCCATCTCTCCCATAAAATTTTCCTACAAAAAACACAATATATATTTTTTTTTTTGATTTCTTGAGAAATTTTAAAGATTGTAATAATGCCATTTCTTTTATATTAAGTTTCATGCTATTCAAAATTTCAAACCATAAATGATAATTTTTCGTATTTTTTTTGAATTTTTTTTTTCCCCCCGTTTTTTACCCGGTAAATAAGTGTGTAATTAAAAAAAAAAATTACAAATATACTTGGGGCATACCCTAAGGCCTAAACAAAGGAAGGCCAGCAGCCCAATGAGCACAAAACAAAAGACTAACCAAAATTAGCTTAACCTAACAATCATAGACCAAAAGGGTCTGTACGAAGTAAAGACACCAACCCAAACCCAAGGCCCAAATCAGTTCAAACCCATATTAACTAACAGCAACCACTGACCTGGGAGGGAACATCAATAAAGCTGCAAATATCCATGGCGATGGCGATGGTGGTGGTAGTGGTGTTTAGGTGAAGGAAAAAGGGGTTCGATTGTGATAGTTCAAAGTAGCAGCTCGGGAGGTAGCGATGATCTCCCCATAAGGACATCTGCATTTCTTAACCGGGAAGAGCCTCAATCGATCTGCAATGGAGACCGGAGATTTGTTTCTAAAATTTCTGATAACCCTGCTCTACTTCCATGGATTAGGGTTTATATAGAATCCACAATTATTTTGTATCCGTACAAACAATTGCTCATAGCTCTCTGCTGCAGGCATTATTCCGAGTCAGTAGCTTCACTTGTATTGCTAACCATAAGCAGAAAGAGTGCTTTGAAATCGACCGTTTGAACCACACCTATTTATGAACTTTCAATATAAATCATTATTTTGTGTAGATTCCTCAATGAAACCAGGAACTAAACCAAGTTGTAGCCAAGTTAATTCGAATCCGAAAGGAGTGGCAAAATTTTCCAAAGAGGCTGTAGTTCAAACTTGAAACCAACACATCAAAATAACAAGAGTTCAACTCATCCACTCTGCTAGATGATTTGAAAGAGAGAGATATCATGACTCAGTCTTTGCAACACTTCTAATGAAGTTCTCATATGTACTCAAGAATGACAAAATAATGTTACCACCATCTAATATTGTGCTAAGCTACATTAAGAATAAATATATAATCCTAACCTTGAATGAGAGAAACAAAAACTGTAAGCCACTCTAAAGGTTGCAATTACAGGAAGAAATCATATCCAATAAAGAATGTTAATCGATGAACTCGGGAGTAATTGCAGAATGTTTTGCTTATACTACACAAACACTACAGAAGTTAAAGCCAAACCAGAGCACCAAGAATCAATTTATCAGAGGCTTAGCCTTGCGTACATGGCCCATGCTATTAACAATATCTTTGCGGGTACAGACAGGGAACATATTGATGTTCTTTAACACTTTCAACCTCCACAGAACATATGGAAAGCTTAGTTGATCCCGAGAAGTGAAGCGAACCACCTCATTGAACCAAAGGCACATGAACATATTAGTCAATGGTGTGTGCTCCCTCACGATCACAGAAGCTTCAGCTAGAGCTACACATACAAATATTGTTGATTAGAAATTTAGAGTACATTGAAGAAGAATTGATTCACTTTCCTGCAGCAAGAATGTGGTCAATGCAAAAGTTCTCCCTTTATATGGATATCATCCCACGTTTTGCGAGCTATTTGCTTTTCAAATTAAATATACATCTGTTTCGAAGCAAGGCTAAAACATTGTAATTAAACAAAACCCCCCATCTAAATAGAATTATTATTTATTTATTATTTTTGTTTAGAATTTATAATTCTATTTATTATTATTATAAATTGAAATTCATTTTGGTTATATTTATATAGAATGAATATTCTAAAAGTGGATCGACAAACTCTCTCGTACAACAATCAGTCCATAGCGAAGGATTTAATACAGCCTCACTTTCGAAGTGAATTACAGGAATTCCTGTCCTATTAGAGCAGTTGACGGGTGGAGACCAGAAACAGGTGATAATTCTTTCTTACTTAGTATTAAGAAAAGCAAATATCAATTTCTACAAAGGCTGCCGTAAATAAACACCCCAACCCCCAACACTTCCTCTTTCACATTCGCATGCACACACGCACAAACACACCTATATAGACACCGACACTGTTGGACAACTGAACCAAAACTGCAATTTAATAAATGATCATAAACTTTAGGGCAGGTAGTGAATTATAACAGCAGAGGACGAATACAAGAAAGCAGATCAAGATGACAGAAACATGGAATGAGATACAGGCAGCAAATGTATAAATATTAGCTTATAAACTGCCTTCCACAGTGAGAGGTAAATCTCTGTATACCACATTGAGATTAAGTACTGTCGCACCAGATGGGTGTGTGTATATGTACTAAAATATATACCAATTATACAGCATAGAATTCCATTCACATTTGCCAATATTATTGTTAAAAATAATAATGTTGTTTGCAAATGCTGCTGTTCAAACAAGGAACCAATGGGTAAAGCATACCTTTCTTTCCGTTAAACCTCTTGTCCTCTGGGAGGCCATCATGGTGATACTGAGTCAATTGTACCTCAACTTCCTCTGGGGTGGCTTTGTTTTTCTTGACAACAGCCTTTGCCTCATCATACACATTACTGCGAGCTCCATGTTCTGAAATTGCTAGTACAGAATTTGTCCGCCAAAGAAGAGCCTCCAACAAACCCAAAGGGTCTCTCCTAATCTGGGACTTTGAGTCTACCCAAATAGAATATCTTGCATGAGGAAACAACCGATGGGCCAACATCTGGTCAAAACAGAAATGTATAAAAAAAAATTACCAAGTACACATCGCATATGACTTACCCACCATACTTAAACCTCAAAATGTGGTATATATATAGATATATACTTTTCGAACTAGATAATTTGATTTAAACAACTCAATATAAGATTATTATTCTTCAGTCTGATCAGCAAAATGCCCACAAGAACAAAGGAAGAACCGGGGCTCCATTCTGATCCAACAATTGTTTTATCAAATGGTGAATAACCGGTGGACACCAGTACACTGTTCAAAGTAAAACCCGTGAACATCGTGCGCGTCTTTTGTGTGTGTGAGAGAGAAAGATAGATGTCCAAAAGGAAAAGAAAAGAAAACAAGAGGATGGACATCATAAGAGTCAATGTTACTATCATAAGAGTCCATCAGCATTCACCACCACATAATTCTAGAATAAATGAAACACATTTATGGATCAAATTGAAGAATATTTTCAAGATTTGCACAATGTTTGTAAAACTAGGAGAAACAGTAAGTATCCATTGTTGCCTAATACTAGAAAACTGGTGGTAGAGAATATCAAAGACTTTTGTAAAGGTGCTTATATGTATTGGATACAAATACTCCCAAGTAATTATAGATATGTGTTTCATACTTCCCAAAAGCATCCACAATTTAGGAACATCTTTTCCATATCATATACACCTCCTTCTTAGTTACTACACAACATGTGTGCCATGAACATCTAGGTGCAGCACTAAAAGCATATCATTACCAAGAATTTCAATCAATTTGATGATTTCTTAAAGAAGAAGAAATGAGATGTAACGACGGTAGATAATATGAAATTTGGTACAAAGTCCTGTCCATTTAATGTAACACTTGGTTTTCTTATGTGCATGATATATTACAAATAACTGTAATTTGATGGCTCCATAAAAAAATGTTTATTCGGGCTTCATTTAGTTAGATGGAAAGTTAAGTTTGGAAAGCAGAAAATGAAAATCTTACTTTCTCAATAACGGCTTAATTTGCTTCCAAAACTTTCCTGCAAAAAAACATGGTATAGTGTATTTTCTTGTAAATTTTTTAATGTTGAAAAGTTAAAGAAGTATTGTTTCACGATTTTTTCATGTAAATTTTTCATCCTACATGCAAGAAAATAATGTTTCCTTTAATTTACTTCTTTCTTATACTTTCACTTTCCAATATTAATTTCTTTCTTACAAAGTGGAGCCTTATGATAATAGACACTTAAAAATGATGGGTTATGAAAAAAAATAAAAATTTCCTTCGCAAGTAACTCAAACCCCGATTTGTGGGATTTGAACCCTCACCTCACTTTCGAAGGTAGTGGAGATAACACTAGGCTACAAGCCCTTGGTAAGTATGGTTTATCAAAGTACAGGTCAAAAGTTTATCTTTTTTCAATTGGGTGTGTGTGTGTGTGTGTGTAGTTATATATATAAATATATATAATGTATTTGACATACGTGTCAAAACACGCAACATCCCATAACAACATACATGCTTTGTAAGGCGTATGGTTGCTAAAATCACAGGAAACCCTAAGGATAGATGACGTCTCCCGATATATGTTGGGTCCTATTTAAAACAATGCTCAAATGGACCGGTTCTAACTGCTCTGGGGGGACTGATTAATCTTTTATGCCATAATTGGGATAAAGATGAGGCCTGAGGGTTGAGAAGCAGCACATTCCAACTTGATTTCTGGAGTTCCAAAACCAGCAAGGGTCTTAAATAGTTCTAGGTTAAAAGCAAGGTTAAACTGAGTAAGTAATTGACAGCAAACTCTGAAAGAGGCCATTAACAGAAATTTTCACGCCTATATGAGGTGCTGAATGAATCTTCAGCTTTGTCCTTTTCCAGAAACAAATCCAGGGGCGAAAAGTGTTGCCAAACTTATATTGTCAATTTTGCATTAAATTATTACATTCAAACCCACATTCTCACACTTGGCACCAAGCTACTACCATCACACCAAGCCAAGGTAAATCATATCTATTGTTCATGAAAAGATATATGCATGAAATATGGAGCAAGCAAATTCTAGAAACATCATAAAATAATAAATAAAATAAAATAAAATAATGAGAAGATGTAAAATTCTCGCACCTTCGGGATTTTGCCATTCAACCTTTGGTCTCGAAAAGGGAGATCCTTAACTATTACAATGCGCCATTTCCCAATAAATCGATCCTGACCAATTCTCTGTCCCTTTGTTTCTTGTGCAGTGAGAGTGATTTCATCCCAAAATGCCACATAGCAAACCTGCATCATTTGATACTCTATGAGCATTAAAAAATAGTAAGGATTTAAGTGAATAAATGAGTATTTTGCATACAAAATAACCTTCTCAACTGATGCATCTGACATCCCAATAGGTTGGTAAAGATCATCCCCACCGCCAAATGCACAAGTAGACACCACAGCTTTGCATGTTTTCATATAATTTATATCATCATCAGAAACCATGAACCCTCCATTCTCACTATAGAAACCACAATGTACCGTTGTGATTTCATTCACCTGACATCCATTCAAATACGACATCTAATGTTAAAGAATGGGATAGGGAAGAAATTTTGCCAATATATGGGAAATAACCAGCACATAAAGAAAGAAGAAACCAAAAAAGTGGAAGATTGATGTGAAAGTAATATCTACAGTTGAATCTGGAGAAGTGATCACACGTTGCATTTGCACTCAAATAGGATATAACTTAAATCACATTGAAGATGCCAAAATGCAGCTTATAACCTTAAAACTTTTCTCTCTGTGCTCAAGAGTTTGATTTCCCGTAAATAGATTAAATCTTGTCGCATCTGTGTTCTGACGAGATAGGGTAAAGTTCCTTTCAACATAAGGTGTATCACTCTCTGATATGTAAACCACTTCTTTAATAAGATTAGTTGATTTTTCATCCATGCGAACATCCAGATGCTGAAGTTCTTCAGGAGGTAGGAGCTTCAAGCAACCTGACGATCCATAAAAGTGTGCCATGAATTGAAATGCTTTCAACCTCCGTAAGATTTCAAATGAGGAAAAAGAATAAACGAAGACACCATATCTAGAAGTCATATTACACTTTTCACAATAAATATTCAAATTGCAGTAATTTAATACTCTTGATATTTCAGTCCCGACATAAAATTTAATATATGACATGGTCAAAATTATTGAAAGCAGGGTTAAATTGATTACCAAATGATCAAGTATTTTTTAGCAAGTGCTACCCATGGATTCTAAATCACTCATATCTTTCCGATCTTGGTCTAAACTATACGTTTGAAAACATGACTCAAAGATAAGAAGGAAAAAATAGTGTATTGAATCATTGTCTTCCCCCCCTTAAATAAGTATCCTCTCGAAATTGCAGCTCCTCTTCCCGTCTTCCTCTCATATCTCCCCCAAATCCTTATTTATAAATAAATACAAAATAAATAGCTTATGCCTCACCCCATGTATCCATTCATTCAATAACTAGCATGAAAATTTCATACATAATAACAAATATCATAATGAAACCACCAAATAAATGATAACCGAAACACAAGAATGTAGTTGGTAATATATTATCCTGTTCACCACTATTAATCAGAACATATTGGCAATTGCAATTTCTTTTAGTGGAATTGTGCAAAAGGAGCCTCTAAAACGAAAAGTGTAAGTTTGAACCTTGAGGTTATCATTGTCAGAGTTGTCATTACATAGTGGGTTGCTAGCAGGAGGAGCACCAAAAAGTCACACATAGCTTAGACATCTTCTCTTCTATAGGAACTTAAGTGTCTCGTATCTGAAACAGAAATACATGTTCAATCATATATTCTGCTAAGAACCACACTATACTCAACAACTTAAAAAAGCAATAACCCAAAGCATAGTTTCCAGAGGTGGATCAAGAACTACGCAATTGCCTAGGGCCCCATTTTGAATATCCCCAATCAGAATTTATTTTGATTTATTTTATGTACTTATAATTAGATATTCTCCAATTCTTAGATGTGGAATTGAGTTAAAAAAATAAAAAATTGCATTCCAATTCTTGAATTCAATTAGAAAAATAACAAATTCTTGAATTCATTAAAAAATCTAATTCAATTACATCTCTTTTCTCATTAATTCCCTTATTATTGTACAAATTCATCTAACTTATTATTACCTTTTCTTCTTCTAAATTTCTTCCTGCTTACTATTTGTGCGATTGTAATAAAAAACCTGATCTTCCGTTCCTCAACTACGATGCTACGTATTGTGTGTGTGTGTGTGTGTTTGGGGGGGGAAACATAGCCTAAGTTAAGAAACTCAACATCCATTATTTGAACTTTTTAAGGTTGAGGATTGTTTCATCGGAAATTTAATGGGACCTTAGAAATTTCGCTGAAATTCTAGTTGGATCTAAAAACTTGGCTTTAGGCCTCAAGTTGTATTGAGCCGGCCCTAATGGTAAAGCACATGCAAAAGTGTCCTAGCAAAAAAACAATGATCACTTTTGTCCCATGTTTCGGTGCCAATAGACATATAACACATTAACATATCGTTCAGATATCATTGTCTCTTTATGTAAACATCATTTTGAGAAACACGTGACTAAGAGGTGCTTGACAAGGACAAAAATGGATTAAAAGATCAAATTTCAAAATTAAACAATGCTTTGTGCTTTATAGGGGGTCGATACATCCATTATAGCCTTAAGTCGTAGTTCTTTTATATAGCACAGAAGCCCAATGGGCCATTCCGTCATCTTTGGAATACAGGGTTGCAACTCTTCACTCTTTTATAATGTAATAGCAAAATCTTCCAATTTGCTATGCTGTGCTTGATTAAAAGAGGGTAGGCAGAAATGCTTGAGCTCAGCTCATACCAAAGAAATAAAAGAGAGGGAACATCTTAATTTGGCCAATGAACACTTTTCAACATGTGGCTGTTAAACCAATTAATGATTGCTTTTTTAGTACAGAAAAAAGCGTAATTATTAATTATAAGGAAAGATAAGTGAAATATTTATATAAAATCTATAAAAAGGTTGGCCATGTTTAAAAAATTGAAATAAGATACAGGAAGGTTTCATCAGGAAGTGAGCTACAGATCACGAGATAAATCGTCATAATTTAATGCAAATATACACATCCACATATACATGTACATATATAAATGTTGTGTCCTTACTATCTCTTTGTTACTATCATTAATTAATATTATAGTATTTCTCATCTCAATCGATGTTCCATTTGGGATTACGAGTGACATATGACTTCCAATGCATTTTCTTCTCAAAATTCACAAGTAAAAGGATTTTTCAGTCATTTTTTGTGGCTTCAGAGCTTTAGTAGAGACTTTAAGTAATAGATTAAAATCAATAATGAGTTGCTCACATTCAGCATGAAAATTAATGACTCAACTCTCAAGAATTAAACATTTCACAAGGTGAACTGCCAACTGAGTTAAGATTAATCAAACCTACGTAATTCGATCACCTATATAGATTATAGTCTTAAGCATGTTTACTGACTTATCAAACTGAGTCTAACTGAATAAGATGAAGGTGCTAGTCTCATTTATTTTGCAAGTAATCTAAAGGAGCCTGTAATTGAGCCCAACATAGTCAAAGATGGATAGCTTGAATAGTCGTACAACTAGAAGTAGCCAAGTCTAACATCAAATTTTTACAATAAGAATTAAAAATTATAAGCATGAAGGTTGTTTTGATATTTTAACAAACCTTGCCCATCTTGCAGTGAAAAAAACACTGCTTCCTTTAAATGCTATTTACATTTGAGAATGCAATTAATGAGGTACAAACCCTTAAAGCTCTTTCTTTCTCTCTAGGGTTTTATAAGTTTCATAGCTTGAAAATCAGCTTTTAAAATCCCAATTTTTTTTGCGACTGCATTACAATTCTCATAGTTTTATATGGGATTAAGGCAAGGATGATGATGATGCAAGGAAGTGAATAAGAAATCTAGATGTCTTATATTTTTGGCTTTGTTTTCCACACTTGCAAACTTCACTGTTAAATGGTTGTTCAAACTACTTGGAAGAAGCAAGGAGCATTGTAAAATGTCGCAGCACTCCTAGAATTCAGAACATTCTAATCAAATCTATCAGGTAACATCTTGTAAAACTGATGTGCATGTGTCTTTAAGTCCAGGAACCAGCTATAAAGAAACTGAAATAATGTTAATAAAACAAATCTCCAAGCTGATTGATTTTCAAGTTTGCAATGTGAAAAAATCTTGAAATCTAAAAAATTGAGACATCAAAATCACAGCAACATGCAGTAAGAAGATATTAAATTGAGAAACCTCAAATTATTCAAGTTCAGATCGAAAGGTACACTTACGTTCTCTGACGCCACCGACCATATGGGTCGTCGGAGTTTGATGATTCAAGTTCCCTGCCGGTTTCGTATCCGGAACCATTTCTGGTTTCTGCTGAGTGACGAATGACGAGTTGATAACTGGAATCGGTCTCCGGCCGATTCTGGAAGCCTCGAAAACTAACAATCCGGCGGCGGGAAGGAAGAGCAAGACCGACCACCATCTCAAAATCAGCCTCAGAATCCGCCGAAACAACTCGTTCTTGCCGCGGAATCCCAATTTCTTGTGTTTTCTTCGAACTCGGACCCTCGTCTTTCCCGCGATTTCGTCGGAATCGTCGTCGGAGACCGAAATTGATATGCTGTTGTTGAACACCGAGGAAGTCATTGATTGATGGTAGTGGGTTAACTGAGCTGCAGAGATCAGACAGAGAGAGGACGATTCTAAGTTGATTGCAAAACTGTTGTGATTGTTGTGGCCAATTCGAATGTTTTAGCCTCTTTCACACTCATCCAACACAAAGATAGAAAGAGAGATTCGTTGAAGGATGGAATCAGTGAAGGATGGAGATGAGAGGAGAGAGAAAGGGTTTTTACTCCCGGAGTTGTCTCGCCGTATCTAAAATGGCTCCGACTGTGAACTGTTTGGGTAATTAGCTTGGGGCTTTTATTTATGTATATACTAGTAAAAAATAGAACTTTACAAAATTAATAAATAAAGTATAAAATAAGTAGATAATATTTAAATTATAAATATTGGATTTTAATAAGCATCTATATTGATATGTTTGGAAAGTTTTAAAGTTTCTATTAATCTAAAAATTAAAAACTAATTAGCGGAATTTTTTTATTTTGCAGAAGAGTTCTCTCTTAATTTTATATTATTTATTATATTATAAAAAAAAAATTAACTTTAACAAATTTGTCACATTTATTTAGAGGGGTGAATTAATTTATTGTGGGTAGAATAGGTGTTTGAATGTAATTGTAATTAGTTCTTTATTGATAGTCTATGTAGTTAAATGTTAGTTAAAAACAAAATTACAAAGGCCATCATAATAATATGGATTAGGAAGAGGCCTAAGACTGCACAATCATCGAAAGTAGGGCTACAAACGAGCCGAGCCAAGTTGAGTAAGGACTTGTTTGAGCTCGGCTTGATCATGAAACTATAGTGCTCGAACTCGGCTCGAGCTCATTTGGCAGTGCCCGAACTCGGCTCGTCCATTATTAATGAAATTTGAGCTCGCTTGATAGCTCGTTAGGGGTTGGCTTGATAGCATGTTCAAGCTCGGCTTGCAGCATCAAATAATTTAGAGTTAATAAAGAGAAACTATGAATTTATTTTTATTTTTTATTTTTTTTATTATTATTATTATTTTTTTTTTGCAAAAGAGAAACTATGAATATAATAATTTTCAGACTATTTAATAAAGAAAATGAGAGATACGTTCAAATTTTCTCAAAAAGAAAAAACCCTAACTCTTTCAAGGAAAAAAAAATCCTAAATTTATACATAAAGGTTCAATAGATGAAGAGATAAAACAAATAATAATAATAATAAAATAAAATAAAATAAAAATAACCAATCAGTAAGAATAAACACCTAATTTATGTAATGATATTTGAGAGATAAGATAAAAGAAGTGAGGAAGTAAAAAATTTGACTTACAAAGAAGATAATCGGTGTTGTTGTGGGGCAAAACATGCAACTGAACCAGTTGTGTGGGTAGAGGGTAGAGAAATTAAGAAAGTAAGATCCCTTGTTTGACCTTCTGATTCGGACACCAAATCAATGGTTCTGTGAGGGATCTTTCCACCTATTTTTGCTAAAGGGATAGGGAAGCAATCAAGCAAATAAACTCATCTTGAGAGACTACAACATGAACGACCCTCGGAGGTAAGTCAATTTCTTCAGTCAAATGGTAAAATCATGAATATGGGATCTCAAATCTGAGAATTGAAGAGTAAGGAGTGGGTTTTAATTTTTGTTGTGTATCAGTGCATCACGTGGATATTCAAACTGAGACAACCTAAGTTCTAGTCTATGGTGGATGTGGGTTGATGAGAAAAAGGGTGTGTGGATCACATGGGTGATGGGTACCCGTGGCAGGCTAGCTACTCTAATTTTTAGACTAGGAAGTCTATAATGGCATGGTGGCAGATTTCAAAAACATTCAATACTTTTGTGTACATATATATATATTATATAATTGGTGGTATGTCTATATATATATAATATATATATATATATATATATATATATATATAATATAAATATAAATATTATAATCGAGTATGTTCGTGAACGCATTATCAAGCCTAGTTCGTGAACGGTTCGTGAACGGTTCATGAACAAACGAGTCGAGCCTACTGATGTTCAAGCTCAGCTTGTTTATAAATCGAGCCTCATAATTTGGCTCGAGCTCGGTTCACTTATTTACGAACCTAGCTCGAGTCGAGTAATTAACGAGCCGAGCTCGAGCAGTTCGCCAAGGGCTGGGCTTGGCTCGTTTGCAGCCCTAATTGAAAGGACGATCTCTAGCCCTCCTCTAGAGATTGGTTTAGCGAGAATGGGCCAAAGTAAGGCCGCAAGGCCATAGTGGCCTCTCTTAAATGAGGCGGGCTCATTTGGTCTCACGGGCTTTCTCGTTGGTCTTGACAAGTCGGTTTAATTTTTTTTTATAAAATTTCTTAAGTCGTTTTGAGACTAGGTTTAAAAAATAATAATAATAACCAAAACGACTTTCAAGCAGCTTTGTGTTTTTTTTCCAAAAAAAAAAAAAGGGGTAACGGTCCAAACAGTAAGGGACTGTTTGGCTGACCTGTTGCCCCCAAAACTTTTTTGCACTTTTTTTGTCTATTTTTTATAATAAAAAAATCAGTAAATAAATAATATAGTCCTTAGTGTCACGGGTTTAGAGTTTTAGCACCACTCTAGCTACTCCCGTGCGGCACCAAGACGTTGCTTCTACTCTCGCAAATACTTGGTCAGCCTAACTACCGTGCACACCTTAGCCAACGCACTCCCCTCGTGCGCTTACTAGTGTTGTAGTGGCCCTCGCCCTCTCCTCACTTGGCTTGCACACTCACACACTAAGGTACTTAAGTTGGCAAGGACAGAACACTTCTATTATTTCAAAGAATGCTTTGTATAAGGCTAGCCCTCAAACTCTCTACAAGGCTCTCAAGACTCACTCTAAGACTTGTTGGCTACAAAATGAAATCCTACTCCTATTTATAGGCATCCCTATCCTTAATGGATGGCTAGGATGCATTCTAACCAATGATGGAGATCGATTCTCTAGAATCTTCTCCCATCTTCTCACACTTCCATATATATTTACAAGTATCTACAACATTCTATAACTCTTATAATACCCCTAATTTTAAAAGGATAGTCTCGGCATTTTAATTTTTATTTTATTATTTTTTTTATTTGGTTAATTGCTAATTTTTGGTTTTTTAATTATTTATTTGCGTTTATTAATTGATATTTCATGGTTTTCTGTGCAATGTTTGGTTTATTTAAATTATTAATTGTTGTGTGCTATTTTCGTAAATTATTAATTGTATTGTTCTATTTGTATTTCACTGTTTTAAGATTAGGTTATTAAATTAGTGTAATTATTGTAATTAAGTTACGTGAGTTTTTTTAAATACATTAATTTAGTTACGGTTCTTTTGGACATCACCTAAGTGTAGCCGACATAGATTTTAAACGTAGGTTTTGTTGTATGGGCCGACTAGGATTAAGATTAGGGCTCTGTCTCTAATATTACAAGGATTAGGGTTTTAGAGATAAGCCTATAAATACACCATTATACTTTAAGTCTAGGGTTTACAATCATAACACTTAGCTCATAGACGTAAACTGCGTTCTGTAAAAATAGAGGGTTGAGAACAGAGCACTGTAAGGTCTGTCAAGGAGAAGAATATAGAGGACCAAGGGGGTGCGGTGGTGGACTATCTGGAACCAGAGGAGGCTTGACAGTGGTTCAGTGTTGCCGGAACAGTGGAAACGACCCCGAGATTTCATAACTGAAATCACAGGCAAGTTCTTTTCTTCCTCTTTCCCGTTGGCTTGTGTTCTGTGCACCTAGATAGTCTCTAGGAGTTTAATTGGACATTAATTGAACTATGCATTATCCTTATATGTTATACTTGATTATCTTTTATTGGTGAAATTTATCTAAAATCGTTCTGTCATGTATGGTTTTGTATCGTTTCTGTTTTGACATAAAACGAGCCACTGTTTTAATTTCTGTTTTGAATCTTGCTGCAATAAATCAAGGCCTGAATTAATACTAGATGTGATTAAGTCCTTTAGGTTCAATTTAGAGGAAGAACAGTAAGGTTGGAATGGCCGGAGACGGAGCAGATGGGCTGAAACGGAGCGAAACGGGACTAGAAGCTCTCAGAGAAGGTGAGAGTCGGTTCCATGGAAGTGGGAGCCAGTTCCCACACTCATAGAGAGGCTCCAAGGTCCTTGGAGCCTGCTCCCAAGCACAAAGAGCCTGCTCCCAAAGTCATGGAGCAAGCTCTTTTCAATATTTCACATTCTGATATTTTTTTTACGAACTGTTTGTTACTGTTGGAGCATGGGAATTGTTCTGATGATTCTGAGGTTTTCACAGAGGGATTAGAAGGTTGGTTTTGGGTGTTATTAAGTCCTTAAATTGATTAAGGTTGACCTCTAAGTGAATGGGATAAACAGTATAAAATTAAGGCACTTTCGATGCTGTTAACGAATGGAAGATAAACTAATTGCTTAATTAAATTTTAGCAATATAATGGGATTTAATATGTTTATAAAACTTGTTTTAAATGCATGATAGGGTCATTTATTTATTAGTTTTATTCTATGCATACTTTGGATGCTAATTGTCAGAATATTAAACATTTTCTGCAATTACCTGGATTATTGTTTGGATTGTAATTGCTAGAATATTAAATGTCTTCCTGCAATTATTTGGATAGTGGTTTTGGACTGTTGTTGTGAGATTTATATGTACCACTCGTAAGTGCACGAATCTTTGCAGATAGGGTTTACTTGTAAGGGTGTCGTACCCAAGAGACTTGTGTAAATTAAGTTTGTCAACAGATTTCTTAAATTCCAAAATTAACTTGAAAGTAGGATAATCGAATTGTAATGATTAAATTTAAATTAACTACATAGAAAAATAAACTAAAGAATGATGATCAAATATGATGTAGAAAATAGAGAGAAAGGACTAGGGGTATGATTTTACCACTAACGTCGCACACCCAGTTAATTGTATCAATTTATTAGAGATATATTATATAACATGCACAGGGAATTAATTATGGCTACAAGCGCATATTAATTCAGCTAGAAAATAATATAATTCAAAGCTAAGTATGAACTATCTTCGATTGGTATAAACCATCTACCTAACTATTTTACTCTAGGGTGTAGCATTGTCTATCTTTTCTAGGCATAATCCATCAAATCTCTAACATTATATTCAGATAAAAACCATTGCGTAATCATCTCATCCACAACTACAAGAAGTGAATGAGTTGCGTTCAATCACAAGATTAAAATATCTAAGACTAGATAGAAAAATATTTGTAATTGAATTAAAACTTAAAACCGATTCTTATTGAAAATTCAATCAAAAACCCTATAGATTACACAATCATGCATGATAAAAATTATTCTCCAATAATTAAATACAATCAAACCAGGGTGCCAAGTTAGGCTACATCATAACCCTAGCAAAGCGTTTAGCCGAGCACGACTGGGGTGGAATTCTTCATGGTTGAGGAAAACATCTTCACTGCCATGGATTAATCCCTTCCTTCTTCTGACTACTTCTCCTCTGATCTCAGCCTCAAGCTCCTCTGTATCCTTTTTCAATGTTGTGGAGGACCCTCTTTAAATAATAAAAGATCAGCCCCAAAGTTCCCTTTTTTCATATAGGAGACATACATAGAAATTCTGTCGAATAAGGACTCCAAAAATTCGTGAAGACTTCTAGGCCAATTTTGACAAGGTAAACAGTTGTTTTAGGGAATCCTCGTGAAACACAAAATTGTAGCTCTTCGAATTTTCTTTCAACCTACGCAAGAATTTAGTTTTTTTGACACTCAAGGAGAGAGATACAGTTAGATTACCAAAATGGGTTCAAGCTACCAACTTTGGCGAAAGTTTCCTTTTTGGAGAAGGAGTTTTCCTTTTCTTCTTCTCTCCATTTTCATCAACTTGTGGCTTCTTTTGGACTAATGTCTAAGTATAATTAGACTTGGATCTTCAACATTGCTCGGTCCCACAGAAAGTCATCTTGTAAAGCTCAGAATTACTGGTGTTGACTGATTTTACAATTAAAGCCCTGAAATAAATAAAAACAATAAAATAATGTAAAATCACAAATAAACTATTATTAAGAGAATAAATATACGAATAGAGGGGCTAAAATGTATAACATTTAGCGCCTAACAACTGTAAATTACTAAACTATTATTTATATATTGTAATTTACATGGATATGGAGGATTGTATGTACCGGTATGAGACGGTGGCATACTAGGGACGGTTTAGCTCAAAACACTAAGACCTAACCTACTGGATGAAAGGAATGGATTGTAAAATATTGAATCCTAAATTGTGTTTTAGTCAAATCAACTAGCTAAGTTGAATGACTTCCTGGATTAGTTGGTTGCAGTTAAGTCATATCAGTTGAATAAGTTGAGTGACTATCAGGACTGTGTTTTGTATGTCATCTCAATGAATAATTGAATGACATACTCTAGTTTCAGACGGATTTTAGATATATGATTATGGTACCACGAGATGACCTTGAGTCTCAGGCTCGTTGGTTATGGTGCGTATATATAGTGGATGCCTAGTTGCATATAGTAGGTAGGTGTGCCCTATTAGGTCTAGGCACTCATGCCCACATTTGGGTGCGTTTTCGCATGTTGCCTTCTATTCAGGTTGAGACCCCCATTGTAGTCCAGTGAATGTCCCTTAGTATGGATATATATATACTTATGAACTAGATAGCTATTGTAAGGTATCTAGGGTGTATCTGCGTATCGGGTCACTGTATGAATTGTAGTTAGATTAGAACTTGTTCGTGGACCTGACCCACTCCTTTATTCTTTTCAGGTATA